GTCTTCTTGATGGATCAATCCTTTTATCATTACGTAGTGTCCCTCATTGTCTCTTTTTATGGTTTTTAGTTTAAAGTCTATTTTGTCAGATATAAAAATAGCTTCTCCAGCTCCTTTTTCTTTTCTGTTTGCATGGTAAATCTTTTTCCATCCTTTCACTCTTAGTCTATGTAAGTCATTATTGGTGAGGTGGGTCTCTTGAATGCAGCATATAGTTGGGTCCTCCTTTTTAATCCAGTCGGCCAGTCTGTCTTTTGATTGGGGAATTTAAGCCTTTTACATTAAGAGTTGTTATTGAGAAGTGTTGATTTATTCCTAGCATTTTATTGAATATTGTTTGGTTGTCTTAGGTGACTTTTGTTCCTTTCTTTCTGATTTACTGTTTGTTTTCTGTATTTTTTGGTTCCTTGGGTTGTAGATAGTTTTTTGTTCGTTTTCTCTTCATGAATGCCATTTTTATTATACTAGTGAGTTTTGATTTTTCTTGGGTTTTNGCAGCTTTTGTTTGTCTGAGAAATATACTATTTGCCCTTCTTTTTGTAGGATAGCCTTGCCATGTATAGTATTCTTGGCTGTCAATCTCTGTCATTTAGTACTTTGAATCCCATTCCTTTCTGGCTTTTAGGGTTTCTGATGAAAAGTCTGATGTTAGTCTGATTGGGGCTCCATTATAGGTGATTTGATGCTTCTCTCTTGCAGCTTTTAAGTTTCTCTCTTTGTCTTCGAGTTTTGCCAATTTGACTATAACATGTTTTGGAGAAGACCTTTTTGGGTTCAATACGTTTGGGGATCTTTGTGCTTCCTGGATCTGAAGATCTGTGATTTTTCCTATACCTGGGAAGTTTTCTGCCACTACTTTGTTGAATATGTTTTCAATGCAATCTCCTTTTTCCTCCCCTTCTGGAATACCCATGAGTTGGATATTTGAGTGCTTAAGGTTGTCTGATATCTCTCTCAGGCTTTCTTCAATGCTTTTGATTCTTATTTCTTCTTTTTTTGTCTGCCTGTGTTATTTCAAACAGTCCATCTTCAAGTTCAGAGGTTTTCTTTTCAAATTCCATAAGCCTGCTGGTTAAACTCTCTGTTGTGTTTTTTATTTCACTAAATGAATTCTTCATTTCAGGAAGCTCTGCTACATTTTTTTTCAGGGCATTGATTTCCTTGTACATTTCTTTTTTCAGTTCCTGTATACTTTTCTTCATTTTATCATGTTGTCTAGCTGAGTTTTCTTGTATCTCATTCAGTTTCTTTAGAATTATCACTCAA